GGGCCCCCCCCCCCCAGTGGATGTGCTAATTGTTTTGCCTTTTTTCACGCATTTTAGCTCCTCGCCGAGGAAATGCGTCACGAGAGGAACCAGCTGATGCAGTGTGTGCGTTATGTTGTGCGAAACAACTTTTTCACGAAATAACCTCAAATACACACGGACCTGTACAGTACCCTCGTTGCCTTTTGTGGGGAATATTGAGCGCAAGAAGGTAATACCAATACATTGTCTACATCGAGCCTTGACAACACTTCTGTTCACTTTAACCGTGCTAGAATGTTTGACTTTGAAGCTAAAATCAGCCCGCTGGGGATGATGTTGTACGTGTCGCTAGTAAAGCCACATCCAACCCCTGAGACTCCGCTAGCAGTCCGGCTTATTGCCTAACAGTCATTATTCTGTCCTTCGAAATCGCCTGCATGCGCAGGTGCTTGCCAAGTCAAATTGAAAGAAGCCTGCAGAGAGCGGTAGTCATTAACTGAAAGCAATTGTTTGTAAATATGGGTGGGTGGGGGGTCCGGGTGAGGCCTCAGTGGGCGTTCACGTAGGCGCGGAATGCCTGCAGCGAGTCCGTGCTGTCCGACACGAGGCTGATTGTGAGGTTGGCCGGCGCGAAGAACACGAAACCGCGCCCGAATTTCCTGGAATCCGATAGAGAACTTGTGTCATGATGAGCTCTTGCATGTGAACTACGCTACTGCCTCTCCCCAAGGCAGTTTATGACAACTACATAAACCGTCAGCAAGAACGAAACGCATAAAGATCCTAACACGTTTACCACTTTGTTTAAGTGGAATTTGAAGTCTGTTCTGCTCTTGTTTTTGTGCTGTGATATCCTTACTATTTGCAGATTTCTTTTCTTCGTTACGCAGAGGTGTAGCTGAAAAGGATGCGATTGTGCCGCGCCTTCAGTTCTCTCACGTGATCACCATTACAAGGCTTGTGGTGTCTACTATTCGTGGAGTAACTAGTTGATAAGGCCTCAGATGAATGCTTTTACGTCTATTCTATCGGTTCAAGTCGGTTTTTCCTTCAAATACCAAATGCCGAAGCGAACATTGCTCTCATTCGCTGTTGTTGAGGATCTTGTTAACCCTTACCGAATGCGTACTCGGCTGTCTGGTCGTATCGATTACTTAATCGGGACCTGAACTAGTGAAGTTACTCCAAATGAGTGATTTAGGGACATAATTTTTTCATGGATTTCTTTGGTCGTGTTAGTGTGACATTTAAGGGGTTCGGCCGTGGTTTTGGCTTAATCATTGCCGTATTACCTTGTTAGGTACAGCCGAGGGGATGCGGTGGGAGTTTGTTCGACAAGTTAAATGCCCGTGAGTAGATTTAATTGTTGAATCAAGCATGTATCTAGATGCAGAGTCGATCTCCATCAGCCAACCGATCAGTACACTCGGAAATTAACCGAATTCAACAAACCTTTTGACTTCTTAACCGTGATCTAGGTGATTACCAGCCTACAAGCCGAGAGGTACTAGAAAGACGCAGTTGGGAAAATAAATGGTAAGCGTGGATTGGCATTGATAAGCACGTACAATTCTTTAATGCTGTTGGTGTCCGGTTCGACGTATTTGGCGATGCCCTGTCCGCGAGTGAAGAGGATGATGCTGGCCGTGGGAACCGGGGGCACACTGAATCCCCGACCCTCGTCCGTAAACTGCACACGAAGGAAACGCGGCAACTTAGTTGGCTGGCAATCTCTGAACAGCTTGTCCGGTTTCATTAGCATTAGTGGCATTAATACCATGCGCAAAAGCCTATAACTACTACTTCCTAACACATATCTCTGAAGTTTCCCTTTTAATAACAGAAAAACCTAAATGACTGGCGATTAGCGCTCATCTCCAAAATTACCCTAACCAGATGCTACTTTTGGACTTCATTCCAGCGATATATATTTCTGTAACGAGATTAGCTGACGTTGGGGCACAAGATAAACACTTGACATTAATTCACTAACATCGGCGTCCAAAACGGTCCCTTTACTGGCCAACGCATGGTTATTGAGGTATTGATTCGTGTGTGTGTGTGTGTGTGTGTGTTTAAAGCATGCCAAGGTGAATAAGAATGAACTTACAACCTCTGCAAAACTTACACGAATCGCATCAACGGCGAAATCCGAGACTGGGGGCACAAACGACTCCATGACGACGCCCTCGGGCGTTGGCCGGAGGTGAGGGGGATAGAGAAGGCTGTCGGGTGTGGTGGGTATGTAGTTGAGGATCTCCAAGAGTCTCTCTACGTCCTTGAATTTCGGTGTCAGACCAGCTCGCACGACGTTGTCGGAGTTGGCCATGCACTCCACACAGTCACCCGACAGATAAGCGTGAGGTGTGTTTGCCTGCAGGAAGAGAAATGACGCAAGACTGAACAGACACCAGACCTACAAGAGCTCCCTTATTGGTGAAACGTGGAAGATGGTATACACTTAGATGGATGGTTGTGCCAATATGAAATAGAACACAGAAACACCGCACTTTGCTGAGACAGTTTCATTGAACGTCGAGTACAAGCTTTGGACGTATACTGGATTAAAAATCTGTCCTATTTCTGACTTAAAATCGCACATGATAACTTGGCAGAAGCACAGTGCAAACCTACCGCTAGAAAAATTGCCTCACCGGGTTTGAGTTTGAGGTAGTTGAAGAAGAAGACACTGAGACAGCCAACATCGCCGGGGAAGGTTCGTGACAAATTCAGGAAGAGATCAACGAGGGCTGGGAAGTCGACTTCGTTTGGATCCAGGTTGGGCACAACTAAGGGAGGGTCACACACCGCTTCGGAGGCCTTGATGAATCGCTCAGACAGCAACTTGATTGTGCATTTTATCTTCAGAGGAAAACAGTAGCATGTGGTAAGTGCATTAAAGATACTACAATGAATTGATCATGCGCAACGCAACACGGTCCAGTAGATCTCAAATGTGTTGACAGAACTCCGGTTGAAAAAAAGGCAAGAGTTCAGATAAGATGCCGATTTCTACAAGTTAGTTAATCAGGTCAGATAAATATCTTCTAAGCAGCTATTTAGTTAATGCGATGGAGTTATAACAGGTTGAGTGTAGCGGGTTGGCCGTTCCATGTAGAAGAATGAAATAACAGTGGATTTGCGAGTAAAACAAGGCCTCTGCCAATGCAGAACAGTACACTTAGCTAGTTATGAGTGGAATCCGCTTTTGTGGAAACATGATTGCCTAGTTGGCGTCGTTTTGCTCTTCAGATTATACTTTGACCTTGTGCAGTGGGACAAGATAAACTGAAATCGCACCATCTGACGCAATCAACAAACACGAAACGAAACAATGGCTATCGTAAACTAATGCTGTGCAGGTATCAGTCTAAGCTAGTCGTTGTGGTAAACAACAGGGACAAGCTTGAGGGATTGGTGCGCACTTGCATGGCTATTTGCTGTCGATAAGCTTCACAACGTAAACAAAACTGTACACGATGCTCCGGTGCCTTCGGATGTACAAAATATGTTGATGACAAGACTAAAGGAATGTCTCAAGATACGACCTCGCCATAGTAGCACTACACTAATCCTTTGAGCCATTTCTTTTGTGGTCAAAATCCGTTTCGTGAAATGTTTGTGAGCTAAGGAAACAATATTTTCGCTCTTAAAGGCATGCATGGTTTCTTGTGAAATCCTTCATTAGTAGAGACTCCCCGTAATTGAAAATAACATAGAGAAATTAAAACGAAACAGCAAACTCAAATGTACCCTGAAGGTTGGCGCTCTCATTAAATTTGAGTACATTTCTTTTATGGAGGCGTTCCCCTCAGTCGCCTTCACCGATGGATCTTCTGTAGAGGCTATTTGGGCCAATTCGGGAAAGGCTAAAAACAACGAAAGAGTTAGCCATATTCATGTCTCCAGATCATGTCATCAACCAAATATGGGATTTGTCAATTTAAATTAAGCAATATACACACTTGAACAACTTGATACGTTGACGAATAGTTAGGAACTCAGAACACTGCAACAACTTGAAGTCTGTTGTAAATTTAGAAATCGACACAAGAATACACTGACACTGACTTTAGATGGGTTAATGGGATGATTTAAAAAAAGGAGGAAACTAACCAGCCATGAAAGCAAGGATTTGGTGATATGGTCGAAAACCCAGAAGAGCTTCAAACTCAGTCAGAGCGATTGCCATTTCTGGTTTGTGATTGTCGTCCTTGTAAATGTCAGGCTGTTCAGCATGAAGTCTAACAGCCATTTCCTGACAAAAAGCAAGACAACAGCCATTTTCCTCTCGGGATGAAATGTCATGGATTAGGGATATGAAAAGACCCGAGACAACGTGCACGAAAACCCAAGTCACTCTGCTTGTGATCGACGACCACACTAATTTCCAAGTCTCTTGATGAGACCTTCCTGAGTGGAAGGTGTGTGGGCAAGCAAGACTGTAGTTTACTCACTTTTGTCGGATGAGCCTGAATCGAGAGGGCTTTTCCCACGGAGAGGACTTTGAACAAAAAAGGCAGCTGAGGCCCAAAGTGGCGCAAACAAGGCGTGCCAAGGCAGGCAAAATTCTCCTGGATGTGCTTTGCCAGACAAACGCTGGGTGCATCCCAGAGGTGCGAGGGGCCCGAAGGATGAGTGCCCATCCATAACTGTGCAAAATTGAGACAAGAATTCTATTAACCATGCAGAGGCATGAAGCATCGAGTACAGCACAGTTAAACAAGCGACGAGTGATAGATAAATAGGTTAACTGAATTCAAAATTAGACGGACTAACCTCAGCATAAGGGTTTGTGGAACGAAGGCCGTCTGAATTTTGTGAGGAAACTAGCAGCTGGTAGACAGCGCTCGACTTCCCAACTTTACCCCATTCATAGCACTGGGACGTGCACTTGAGTCTCAGCATAGTCTACCAAATAAAGATTTCGCGATAAGTTAATTCGCAGCACGTTCCACATTTATAGTTCGCAGCGGGAATAGAATTAATTGATGGGAATGAAAATGGCTTCAAAATTCCGCATACTTGTGATTTTGTTGCATTGATAGTCACAGAAACAACTAACTGACCGAATATTGGGGTACTTAAAGTGGCCTGTTTATATCACACAAAAATGTGATTTTAAAATATTCGCAAAATACTCAATATATGATGGCCTCCTGATAGCTTGTGATCTTGTGGTCAAGTATGCGAAGACTGGAAGGAAGCAGAAGTCTTTAAGAGCTAATAACAACTCAATAGGACAGAAAACATTGTGGGCACGTGATAGAATTGTAGATTAAAAATGATTAGTCTTAAAAATAGCCCTCGACTCAAGGGCTTGTGATGCATAAAGCCGGTTACCTAAGGATGTAAAAACAGTAATAAAAAGAGAATGAAAGAATCAGTGCGTACATTAACTGACTCTGGACAAGTGACAGGATATTCGCTAGTCTAGGTGACATTTTACAGAAAATGCAAAATTTCTGAGTCACACAACACAAAATATATTGATTCAACAAATTTTCCAATAGGCATTCGAGATGAGGTCGCTGTGTTTGCTTTTTAAAAAGTGTAATTGGCAATCAGAATTCACCGTTAGTGCGCTATATAATCATCTTTTAAAATCAACGAGGGAGGTTTACATATCATGATATCAAATAAAACAACAATGATTATTAAAAGAAAGTGTTGAACTAAAACGGCAAAAAAGCAAGAACAGGAGGCAGCCCAGCAAGAATTCACACACGTCATCACAATCAATTTAGTAAACTTCGATAACCCGGTTGTTAATTGGCTTCATCTTAATCTATGCAGATGGTGATTGGACAAGCTTGAGGCCTCAGAGAGTGAAGGTCGTTGTTTTAGGTTGCTACATGTATACTTTGCCCAAATAATTTTTTATGGCCATAAAATAAATATATTGCAATGCACGAAGGTTTTAAATTAAGTAATGTTTGAAAAAAACAAAAATCTTTTAATTATTTTTGAAAACAGGAGATGCTATGGCCATAATGTGTTATGCCTTCGGTTATGACCGCACGTTCTAGTGTGAGAGACAATAGAATCTACAAACGGTAAGAGCACTGGTGGTTAAAATGGTCTTTAAACTTTTACAAAATGGTGTAGGCGATTATAATTGTATCAGCTGTAAACTGCCCTCAAGAAAAGTATTATTCATTTATGCCGAAAAAATTCCCAGAATTTAATATTGGGGGGGGGTGCCTTGTGCCTAATTAAAAATTCTTGCTTTGTAGTCTTGGTCATTGCATCGCCGCTGCCTTTTGAGGAAGTATGACAATTTTTTTGCACTTTCAGTCGTTTTATCTTGGCAGATTGTTATTTCTAGTTTTGACATTTGCGAACGACTTCTCTGAGGAGCAAAAATGATCAAAACTTGTCTGTGGGCTTTAGGTGTATCGATTGTACAACGCAATCACGAAACCGTCATAACTTTTTGCCCTTCCAACGGCTTAAGCTTTGGACAATAACTTATTATTTCTAGCTACTTACTACTTAGGTGGTCTTTAATGGCATTCGTCTATGGCAGCTATCTTCGCTGCTCCATTGTCCTTTGCTTCCTTGAGAGCGCCGCATCCTTCATACTGATTGGAGCACCCATCCATCTTTGTCGCTGATCAACTGCTGATCTTGCTCCTAGGGGATTCAAACCCACAATGACTGAGCACTGGCTGATCTTGACGTGACACTGCAGGTTATATAGATTTTCTACCAATCTAACTTTGTTAGATGATGCTGTAAAGCAATTACTGTGTGACGGAATGTTCTTTAGCCTGGTATTCGCTCATTTACAGCACTCGAACTATTTGTTCTGACAACAGTACTCTCTCATGTGACTGCCTAGGTGCCTCGCTACACCTTATTATAAACCAAACACGAGTCACAAGGGAACCCTGATCCTTCGATGACTGTAGCATGGCCTCTAAGATATATTACGCCAGCCCAAACCTCCACAAAGTGAGTAAAGAGGTTGTACCCAAAAAGGTATTACTGTGAGTTCCGCATAACTGAGGCCGCCACACTTATCCGTTAGACCAGTATGACCCTGCCTGAAAAGGTACAATATGTCGTAAAGCTGAATCCCGGCAAGCTTATTTTGGGGGTTTTTTGAAATTGAGATAACACAAGAACCCCCTGAATTTACCGCTTTGAACATCACCCAACCCTCGGTTTATCTATAAAATGTGACCAACAACCGAAGTCTTTGACGTTAGGACGGAGAACATAACCCAAAAATCCTCTAAATGCTCAGCTGCTTCGAAATGAATAAAATAATTCTGCCCGAGTCTCAAAATACTGGCTAATGTTTAAACTCACTGGTCAATATTATACGAAATGTTATCCTGGTACCGACAAAAAAACAAGTCTAACGACCAGCAAAAATACATCGTTTTTTATAATAAAAAGCAATTCATTTTTACAAAATGCAGGCTTTAAACAGTGGGAATAAAAAATAGCCAAATTTTTAGTCAACTATTTTTTTCTTTTTTTTAGGTTTAGATAGGGAGCCGTTCAACAGACTATCATCACCGGTATTTGAATCAGACTGGTTCTTATTCCTTTTTTTCTTCGACTTTTTCTTCTCTGTTAATGGAGACAGTGTTTCATTTAAATCGACGTCCGCTTGATCATCGTCATCTCGAAGACCCGCATCTCTAGACGGGGAAGTGTCGATGTATTCACTTGCCTCGAAAAGACCCGAGGCGACTGACTCGATAACTTCGTCCAAGTTAAGCAGAAATTCAGCGGGAGTTCGCCAAACGTAAAGGCTTTTGTTACTAGGTAAAGCTTTTGACTTTTTTCCCTTCACTGATGAAGGAGTGAAGTCAATTTTCTCGGAGAACGATTTTGTCAATGCTGGGTTTGAAGTGGCACGGGGTCTCTTTTTACCGGTGGATAATGATGCCACTGACGCCATATTTGCCGTATCTGAAAACAAGTAATATTTCCCCATAATTGAAAGAGGCACCGTATTGTTGGACTGTGTAGACCTAGTGCTTTAATATTTCTCATGGTCGGATCAACTTTGAGTCAAAATAACTCGCAGCGTTAGCTGCGCTTAAGGCAGGCAGGCGAACCTAAAATGTTCCAATAAAAAGTTGAATACGACAACGTCGATTTCCGTAAATACGTTTCGAACCAAGACTGCTCAGATAATTAATTGCGCATATTGGAACATGAAACGAAGTCCAGCTACAACCACAAGCGATGTAGCCTGTTGGTCCTTAGTAAACCAACAACACCAAAATTCGTGAACTTGATATGGTTATAAATGGAATGCAGTAAAAGGTTGAAAGAAACGGAGATACACATCAGTCGTTAACGTACGCTTGGGTGAGCCGAAAGAACTGAGCAAAATCTCAACTTTCTCAAGGCGGGTAGCTAGTTCATTCAGACTTTCTGGTGGTTTCAGATTTTTGTCCAAGGCTTCGCCCACAAACTTCTTTCCGCTAAAAGAAGAAACAGGGACTTGCAAATAGGAATGCAGGACGATTTTTCTCGCTTGCAGTTGCCGTCTAATTGTGTTGACACTAACAAATGTTAATTCTGCACGATTTTAATGACATATTTACGAAATTTTACCGAAATAAAGGCACTATAGTTTAAATAGGACGAAACCACTGCTGTTCCTGAAAACGATGTGCAGTAACAAGCTGGAAAACAAAGTTTCTGCAAAACAGTAGATAGGACGAACACTTTATGTCAGTGTTAGATCGTAGATGATGAAGCGGATGTTCTAAAAGGGTATTCATTATAATGTAATTTCTGATACAAGCTGCCCATTGGTCCTAGCGAAATCCAAGAATGATATCACCCAGGATGTCTTCAGAGGAAGGACTAAATGTTTCGGAGGATCATTAAAAGAAATCGAGAACACGAGACAACAGTACAGCTTTTAACCAAAATATGGTCTCCTAAAAGCATTGCTTAACGCATGTGCAGGAGAAATGCGTTTCATATGCGGTAAAGTTATAGCTACTTGGCACAACTTACCATTCAGTGGATTCTCGCTCAAAAACAGCAGTGACGAATGGCAATTCTGACCATGTAGACTTCATTAGTAGATCTTCAGAAGAAAACATTAGGTCTGAATTGCACGTAAGTCGTATCCTGAACCGAGGTGCTCCATTGAGGTTTGAAATATTAAGAGATCGAACGATATCTCCAGATCCCAGGGTGTATTTACGTAACATCTTCCGGATGGATTTGCGAACAACAGCAACATTCTGTTGAAAAATGTTGCGGGCCTCATGACAATCTTGATCAAATCGCACTAAAATTATTTTTGGGACATCAGCCGGCTGTAAAGAGTCCTCACACATGGACTGCTCCATCTCGTTTTAGGCGCCACATTAAAATAGTAACAAAAACTAAATTAAGACACTTTCTATAAGTCGAGCTTACGGTGGAAGCATTTGTGTTTGTTATCCTGTGCTTGCAAGTCGAATTAAAATAACCTGCTTAAATGTGGTAGCCAGGTGTATCATACCCGAATTGAGTTAAACTAGAATGACATCGGACATCATTTACGCCTGGTGACTTCTTTCTATGTTTGTAACCTTTTAGACCTGCCCACCAGTTAGAATGCAAAGCTTAGCGTATCTTTTAAATTCTGTCGTCGATTTTGCCTTTTTTCTCCATTATTCGTCACGTAATCACTCTCCGAATAAACTTGATTTGTAGGCTCCAGCTTCCCTCCCATACTGGGCTCCGTGTGTTTGTCTGGACCATACCTCTAGTGCCGATTCATAAGTAGTCCTTCTATTCCTTTAGGTCGGATCCCAGCTCACAAGTTACATTATCCAATGTTATTTAAATGTCTACTTGGAAGTTTTTCGTTGTATTTATCAAACGAAAAATTTAATTAGTAACAATGCGCATGAATTATTCGCGTTATATGTTGCAGGTTTGAGCTGGTCAACCATCTCAAATATATAAGGATATATTAAATCTTAAAATTCACTTCTATGACCATTTTAAGCCTTCATTTAAATTGGCTTAATCATCAGCTGTTTACATATAAAAAGGTTGCTTTTTATGTTCTGGCTGCATCTCATGCTTAATAATACAAACGGAAGCTATGTCTGATTGAAGTCCAAGTAAAGTACCATTATTTTATTAAGCAAATCCCTCACGTTTTGTCATTTAGTGTAACCTGTCAACTGAGTATTAATCCGGAAGAATTAATTACTGCATTGTCATTCTTTAGAAAGAGGCGCCTCAGCATTTTCAATAACCAGTCACAGATTATATTAAATGAATACTATATTAAAATTCTCAGTCATGCAGTCTCAGTTATAGTAATTAGAAATCTATCAGGAACGAGACGAGAGAAAAGAAAAACTACTCATTCGATTACCCCAAAATAAACTATTTAAACATTAAATTACAAACCAGTGCACAAGGCAACGCCTACTGGTGATTTTACATCAATAAATTTTTGTCCGAGTCAAGTGTACAAAGGGAAAATTAAAATAGCGTGGGTGCGGGCTTGAAATATTCGATGGTGTAGAAAACCTGGGCACAGTTTATGGTAACAGGCGTGAGCGGACATGACCCAGAACAATATGAATAGCTCACCCCTCGAATTTTCGCAAGCCTAAGGCTATCGTCGATTTGACCTTGCGTGCTAAACTTGAAGGCTTCATATTTTGCATAGTCTCACACATGACAAAACGTTTCTGTCCGATGTGAAAGTGATGCAGATGACTAGCTGCAGCCAGTGAATTTTGACCCCTAGTGATTCTCTGCACAATTATTGAGTCACTGTATTGTCATGAGTTACTAAAAGAGAGGATTGTGGAAATATTCATGTATTTCTACAAATTTGTATTCCGGCTCTATTATCAGCTGCCCTACATTGTAGTCGCTTCCAGTCTTCTTCGTAGCCCCCAGAACTGAGATTGTCAGTAACACTTTTTATACGAATAAGAATTAATACTACGCATTCCGAGAACAACTTATACTCACAGAATCACGAAATATAAAGTCACTATAGGTGGTAGGTAGTGGAATCGTGTTGACGCTACGCACAAGTTCATCAACGATTATTGGTTTTCTACATCTGTAAAATATACCTACATTCCATCAATAAAGATATCCTCCATCAGTATCAAAAGGATCGCTCTGTCGGCCTAAATAATCGTCAGCAACAATGCTACCAAATTTACAATGAAACAGGATAGTCGACCTCCACCACTAGGATATTCTTCAGTCCCAAAAGTGCGCACATCCTGCAAATGATTCCTCGGGTATCCAGAGGGACTCTTTTGCAACGAGGGCAGAAAATTCGACAAAATACCCGCTACCTAATTACATACCCTTGACCCCACCGGTATACTGCAAGTACAGTGGCTTTTACCGAAATTTCGAAGCACTCGTACCAGCCTAGATAACCTGTCTTTGACGTGACTATCCATTGCGACGAAAGGCAGAAATTGGGAGACACTCAGATTGTTCCCAAGTCAAGTTAACAAAAAAAACCGATAGTTATGTGCTTCAACAGAGTAGGGTCTGATTGCGCTAAGTCAATCAATACCACAGGCCGTCAAAAGTTGTATTTTCGACTACCACTACGAACGACGACCAAGGCAACTCGTCATCTGCAAAAACTGTTCAACATCCGTGATACAAACGGACGAAACTAACAGTAAACGCAAGCTAAACTACTCGATCATGATTCGTTACCTGATTTTATGAACCCTGACGATATTAACAACGCAAACGCAACCAGCCAAATTGGCCGATGTCCAAAATAGCTACGCAAGGCTGTCATAAGTAAGGCAAAATCTATTGCAAGTAATGAGGAATGAGCACACGACAAATGTTGAAGCTTGTGATGCGCCCATTTCTGATGAAGTTAAATCTTACAGGACTCGAACTTGGATAAGAAACAAAAAATGCAGAAACAGGAGAACATCTACCAACCGATAGCCCAAGGAATGTGACAACTAAGAACACGACCACTATCAACTAGAAAAGTACGAACACAATCTAAAAACGGACAATTCACTTGTTCCACTAAATTTATTTATACAAACTACTCGTTGGCTTTGGCCAAACGAGCCTTGAGACGCTTTCCGGCGAGACGTTTGTTGGCCCGGTGCTGACGAATGGCATGGAACGCCGAATACTTAGCCTCCGAAGGCGTAATCTTATGAGGCTTTTCGAGTTTGGACTTTTGAACAATCGGCATGACCATTTTCCTCTGAGTAACCTTGTCTTTTTCTCCCACGTGAACAGGTACGGGAAGGATCTTCGCTTTGTTAAAGAGGATGATTTTCGACATGTATTTTCGGAGTCGAGCTACATTCCTCTGAAGACTCTCAACAGAACAATTACGACGACGATGATCGACGGAAATTCCGACAGAACGCGCAATCCTTTTACTGATGCCAGCAGCCTTCAGCTCTTCGAGTGTAAATCCACGCCCGGGGCGAACCTTCATGTTGTAGCGAAGAGTGGGACAATTTACGATTGGGCGCAATGGTCCACAAGCAGGCCTAGGGGCAATGCGCTTGGCCTTGGCTTTGCGAGCCTCCTGGCGCCGATGTTTACGGGCGGGTTGGTTGAACCAGGTCTTGACCATAAACTGCCACTTCTTCCTGAAGTGGTTCTTATGAACGATATCGTTTCCGTGGGCCATGACAGTTCACTGTAAGGGAAAACAAACATGATATGTCAGAATGCAGTAACAAAAGAGGAAAGAAAGATGAGGCCAAATTAAGCATCTTCGACAATTGTGAATACAACATAGGTAGAACTAATGCAGATGAGTTCTAGCTGTCAGATGATTAAGCGGATTAAAAACGAGCACTGAAGTGAAATTCAATTATCATCTCACAAATATATAAGGACAAGGGTGATTCCCTAAAGGAAATAAACAGAGCAGCGACAACGCATGACGAATTTCACAACACAGCAATGTTAGTTTACCAGGAGAACGAAAAACATAAATGAAATCGCAACCCCTTCAAATTTCACGTTTAGCAAAAACTTAACAATACATTACTAACGTAATTAGACACTGCATTGACTAAGGAAGAGCACCAAACCTCAAAAAAGACAAAAGTGCACGCCACCTTATTTTCCTTCGTAACACTGAACTCAGTAACTTAAAACAAATACGGAATCAAGCACACGCGTGAAAAGAATGATTTAATTCTTGTCTAAAACGCACTCAGCGGTCTCTATTTTTTATTTAAAAATTTTTAAAAATTTAAATATTGTGATAGCAAATTCGATTTTCTCTTTAACGGTGTAGGTTCAATCACATTGATGACAACAGTTCTAGCTAGTTAATTCAAATTCGTCTACAAGTTCAATTGCAAACTGCTTGATACATTGCGTAATAGTGTTTAGTGTTGAGTAAGAATTGCAACCGAAATCTAAAAAATGTGCCACACTGCTAATTGCATCTTTCCATAAGCTCAATTTAATTATAATGCTACGGTATGGGTTTGCCTAATTTCATAGTAAAAAAAACTACCAAATCTTCGTTTTGTGTGATTAGTTATCAAAATTAACTATCGTGTGTGTGATACTGACGCAAATGTTAAAACGCTTTATTATAAGTATTTTACACATCTTTTTTTATTGGTCCAGAATCCCACAATTAAGGTACTTTTAAGATAACTTAAACTTCTTAGCTATGTATCCATAAAATGTCGCAGCAAAATTTTTACAATTGTTGCAGAAATTGTTTTCTAGATTGTTCATTCGAATCCATTATTTTCGCCTGTACTAATCACACATTCACATGTAAATTTGATCTGCATAAATAAGCATTAATTTTGAAATAATTGGTAAATTATCTTTATGTTGCTAGCCGGAATTCCTACTTAACAAGATGTTAATAATAATTAAAAAAATAATAATAATAGTGCTCTGTAGCCAAAATTTTTCCTGCGAGTTATTCCAAGGTTAGATCCTTGTTCCTTCATCGTTGTCTGATCTTGAAATTTTCGTTAATGCACATAATTTCGATTGATGACAAATGTAACAAAGTAGTCAATGTGTAAGGCGCGAGTATGGATCTGAGCTAGAAGAAGAGACGGACTACCGATGAGTCAGCGCGAGATACCCAATCGAGAGAAACACAGGGAGCAAAACGTAGGATGGTGAAAGGAAACATCTAGAAGACTTTATATGGAACAAAGGAGGCAGAGGGTAAACTGGATGATAGAGTTCGGGAACCAGGAGACAATCCATGTACTAATTGTTGGGCAGACTAGGCATGAACAGAGTTCGGTGTCGTAGAGTGTCGTGTGCGTGACAAATGGTAGCAATAATTTTAGCGCCAACTTATATCCATTTTTGTCTCGATTCATTTTAATTATAGCAAGAAAATCGCAACAATCTTGTTCAATAAAATAAAGATATTGGTGTTCATTAATAAATAATTGATTTAGGGAATCGCTAAGCTATCTAAAAACCAACTTAAGTGGATGTGATTATTGTCAATAAAATTAAATAGTTTTAAGGGCTTTTTTTATGACGGGTCAATGCTATTTAATAGCTAGGATCAATACCTGATGGATTACATGCAGACAATATGCACCTACATACCCCATCAATATTTGGACTATTTCCACACTCAATTCAAAGTTCTTATGAATTAACTCGTAGTGCTGAGAGTTAATCCTGCGCCCACATATCAAACGTGAGGGCACTAGCACTACCTCACGAAAGGTTGCAAGATATGCCACGGCCAGAACTCAAAAATCTACTTCGCACTAATATTCTGACGGGCGGCATCCCTCCAAATCTACACCAGATGACCGTGCAAGTTTATTGCTTCATAAACTACAGTGAACGTACGAGCAGGTAAAAATGCTAGAAGCCTCTAACGAGGATCCCAATGTAACCGATGTAGACTTTACAACGGTGGGTTATACGACGTGTAGAAGCATCGCATCGCAGGGCATGCGCGACGATTGCAATGCAATTGAACAAGGAAAGGACTTAAACGGACCGAACCCAGGTGCGGTGACAATTTACACTCAGAGAAAGAAATGGGTAGTAACCTTTTTGATACAAATCAGGTAAATACACACTCAATTCTACAAAAGCAGCTAAATCCCGACATTACAATCAAAAATGGTAACGTTCAGGTCGTTTGACGGTTCGCTTTGACCGCCGGGGTGTGAAAATGTCGGTGCTGCCCCCATCCTCCGTTTGCACGACGTTCGATTCCGTCTCGTCGTCGTCCAGTATGTTGCCATCGCCATCGGCAGGAGAAATATCATCGGCGCAGGCAGAAGTGGAGCCAGGTGAGGAGTGCGATGGTTCGTCAACTTGGGAGTAACTGCACAAGAAATGGGTTGACTTCAGTTTAGCAATGGGTTAAGGCAAATACAGCAAAAGTGCTATGGCCAAACATCTACTCAATCAACGTGCAAATCATGATTCTGAAGGTTTGCAGGACAAAAATACAATGTGACAAAATGACCCTTGATCAGGATGACCTGCCACAATAAGCGTGGATTAATTTTAGGCTCCGATTGACAGCGGTAATTACTTGACATCAAATAGACGTGTTTGCAGTAACCGTTTGAAACAGCAGTGGCAAATGAGAATTTTTACAATAACTATTAACGAGAACGAAGTACCTCACATAATTTATTATTTCGGATACAAAAAGCATGTGGATCATTAAGTATCCCATAAGTTGCAAGGAAGAACTGACACAAAGGACATGTGTGACTTCTTAATGTATTCGTCTTAATGTTGTAGTTATCCCTAAGTGATATGTTACTAGAACGGAGCAATGGCATTGGAACTTCATATAAATGCACCAGATTATAACTACATGGCGGCGACCTAGGTGTATTTGAGCTAACAGACCCAACGTGGCGTACGCAAATATGGGAAATTTGCTGATCAAAGGACACACACAATCGCAACAGGAAACAGAATTACAGCAAATATAATTTGCAAGACACAGCACTCAACTAATGCCAAAGTGACACATTGGTCAGAACTGTAGCCAATCACAACACAGCCTGGTTAGCGAGGATCAACAGATCCACAGAACTGAGCGCGTCAAGATTGCGTGGCAAATTGCAAATCCGACTCTTCCAGTAACGAGACATTCTCCCACAGAGGTTCTTTCTTCGAGTTTTCAGATCACATTGACTGAGGTGGAGGAGATCTTGCTCCCTTTCAAACATTCCCCTCACCTGAATCATCGAGTACGCTTACCTGTGTATTTAACCGTTTTACGTGAGACTGATACATAAACCAAACTCCGTGGGTTGGCAGCTGGAGCATAAGAAACTGCGGTTTTGGCTGACTTGCGAGTTCTCGACATTTCTCAGAAAAAAAGGTATAATCGAAATCTAAGTCTGCCATCAAAATAACGACCGCTTTCAATTTAAACAAGTGAGAATGACTACGACATGGGCTGCGTTTTAAGGCAACTGACCATTCAGTGGTGTCTTCGTTGTCTGGTAGGGTGCTGAAGCCAAATGATTCGTGCTCCTCCTCCTGCCCCTCCTCTTCTTGAATTGACGAGGACGTTGGGGCAGCAGCCGCAAGTTTGTTGAGGAAATACGTGGCGGGGGACGAGAAGGTGAAATACGAGCCCAAGCACAAGGCCTTAGCGACCTCGTCCATTTTTGCAAGGTTCGAAGCGCCACGACGACTAGAATCCTGCGTTCGAAAACAAAAGGACTTTGGGCATTTTCAGCGGTAAAGACGGGTGACGATGTCAGAAATGTCGGAAATTACACAGCTAGGCATTTTTTTTTAATTTTAAAAGGAGGATGTGATTTTGGAGTAAAGAACACAAGACGAACCTAGACATTAAGGACCAACGAACTCCTGTGGTAAAATTCAAAATCGAAAATACTTTAGTGCGCATCGGAATTCCTGATGCCAACAGGACACGACGCCAATTAGGTCAAGAGAGCAGAAATCGTGGCGTAATTCAGAAACCAGATAACATTAATTTAAAATTGTTTCGAAAAATCGCTATCATTGTCGGTGATTTAAAGCTAGGGTTAAAATAACACCGTGGCGACTTACGGTTCGTACAGGCGGCGAGAAGGTGAAAACGGACGAGTTGAGGTGCTTGTGTAGACGATCGGTAGGTGGGAGAGTGGGAGGTGAGCCGGCTTCGGAGTTCGTCGACGCATCCAAATTCTCTTTAACTAAAAAACCGTGCGACTTACAAATGGGAATTACGATTGATGCATACAAAATCGATCCAGGGAAATAAGATTGACTGTTAGAGGATTACTTTTATACAATCGATAAAAAGGGGATTAGCTATCAGTTAAACGGTAGAAATGAAGGGTGCGGCAGCTAGCAGGAGCATTTCTAAGCGAGTAAAGACGAAGAGAGCTTGGCAAAGAACAACAACAACAAAAACATACTGATATGAAGCGTGTGAGGGTTGATTGTAACCTCAGAATCATCGTCGTCGACGGCAACACCTGGGGTCTCCTCTTTACAGGCCTTAAACGATAAACCGGAAGGCGCTGGGCTTGTACTAACGGGTGAAGAATTGACCTCTACCACTGGCGACTTGGGCCGAGACTAAACAAAATAAAAGGACAGGAAAAAAATTGGTGAAATTCGATTAACACGCTACCATCCGCAAAGTAATTTAAGTAGCACTTAGTTCAATCAGGTACAAACCCGCTCTCACATCTCGGTTAGTCATTAGTCAAGGCTGCCGATAGTGGAGGGGCATAACTGTTGGCTCACAGTCAGAAAATGTTTTGGCCATTTGCTGCGCAGTATGTGCCTCTAATCAGCGCTACCTTCACAACGGATTAATCTAGCTGGGAGCTAAAAAGAAGCGAGTTGCTTTTGTTAAAGGACACACAGGCAGTTCAAGTTCCTCTTTGATGCATGCAACAACACCAACACCGTCCAAACCTTCAGTATCGACACGGTTGGAGAGGCAGTAGTAACGCCAAGGTTTTCGTGCATTCTGCCTAGCTTGGACCAAAAATCAATGTCCGATTGCACGACCGGACGGTGACCAACTTCGATGGGCGCTTTTTGCGTTGGGGTGTTGGAGGAGTACGGAGATTGCAGTCGGAGGTCGACACGCTGCTTCCGAGACCGAAGTGGGCTGTCGACGGAGGCGGAGTAGAGCATCCTTAAGGGAAATGCCAACAGCTTGTGGCCACACGAACACAATGAAAGCACTTGCCTTATCTGCGTGAGCCATATTCGGTTACTGAGCATAAGGCTTTGGATCGCTTAGGGCGCTGAAACACACTAACGTGGGACGGTTAGAGGGCCCGAATAGTGCCCACAAGGTAGAGCATGAACAGCAAACTTGGAAAAGAACAAAGTGCCAATGTTCCATACGAATGACATAATGAATGCATCATAAGAACAGCAACCAAAAGCATTAGTTAATTACAAGTAATTCATGGGAATAAAGGCCGGTTTCCGGGTCGAGCTTAAAAAGAACGCAGAGTAGAACAAATGACGGGACGCCAGGTGGAGTAGGAGCAACCTCCTTGGGCGGGAGTTGTCTGTGCAGAGAACCGACTGCGTCCCTACCAAACAGGAACGTAACTTACCTGCGCAAATTTCTACTGAGATTCCGAGCACTGTCTGTAATGCGAGGCCGCGTTGGGGACGTAGTTTTGAATGGGTTTTCACCACGAAGCACGCGTTGAGACCTATAGGGGGGACAAAATATAGAGACAACAATAAATGACATCAAATTTTAAGGGCGAGTTCCTGTCTACCATTAAAAAGTGGTAGTTTGTGAAATGACATGCGTAGGTAGAACAACAGGAGTAAGACCTACAGGTTGAAGTCGTCCCAGAATTCGGCGAGCTGTCGTCTTTCGACGGTGCAGGGTTGAAAGGCGAGACCACGTCCCTTGGGGGTGGCGACTAGGCGCGGCAGTCCACGGCGTGGGGAGTCGGAGTCTACCGCCAAACAGGGCGGCGACGGTGGCGCTTGAAATTCCACTGAGGTGTCATCAGATTTACTGAAATCCCCTTCATCGTTTCCGTTTACAAGGGCTGAGAATCGAGTTAGGTGGTCGAGGCTGGGAAGGCAGGAGGTTATTGTGGAGACCATAGCGCGGATTAGACGGCTTTTGGAGAGGCTCTTCGAGCTGGAACTCTGCGTGGTAGCAACTGAAAGACGGGAGCTGATGTCGGCGTCTGCTTCCTTGAGAAGGTCGTACGCCTCCTGTGAGAAACATTAGACCGTTTTAAAAACGACAGCGCAGGTCACCTTTTGAAGCACGTCGTTTGAGGAATTACGCATGCACAAGTTAAGCAAGCACACTAAACGTGCTAAGGAAAACCTACTAGCGGTTCTATAAAGGCAGATTATGGAAGAATACGAAGACAAATCATCTGATTATGTAAACAAAGAGTTTTGACTGACAATTCGAAAATAGAGGTGCATAGAGATCGAGAAGCTTAGAAGCTTAGAAGATGGGAACTCGCTTTAACAATACGGCAAGAGGCTTTTGAGGTAGTACAGGATTTCGCGTGGTTCATATATTTCCACAGATTTATTATAATTTTTTTCACTACGAGACTGCAATGATAGGCTTTTTTTCTTAATCGCTCAATTTCTTCACATGTTTTGCCCAGATCAGGTCATGCTTAGTTAAAAATTAAACTACTCAACTCCAAGGAATGCATGTGATAAAAAACCAAGATCACTATACAATCTAAATGATATCCAATCTACCGTGGAGTTTGGTTTTCATCCAAATACAATCATTTCATTTACATCCTGAATCTTATTGCCTACTGCTTGCACAACCACCACAGTTTATGAAAACACAACCATGTCAATTCAGTACGAATTGGTGCATCGGTAGAATATAAAAAAAACTAGGATTTACGACCGCACACGCTGGATCAACCGATGATTACCATTCAGTGACAGATCAGGTTCGAAAACAATGCGCTGATTTGTAGCACGTCGCTTTTGGGGCTCGTTGGATGGAACCTTTACGTGAAATTAGAATGTACTCACCTTATACTGAGCACGAGCGACAAGGCAAGCAAAGAGAAGTCGGTTGTCGCCTCTGCGCCGCAGATCGGAGAACACAACATCGGCCTCCCAGGCGGTCAAACCGAGATTGATGAAGTCCAGGAAGCGTCCACCTACAAAACCGCGCAAATTAGAATGCTGTGAGTGTCGAACTTTGGTTGAGCGGAAGATTGCACGCAGACTGGCGGTCTAAGACTTGAGCCACGGACATTAAAGACGGATTAGGCTACTTTCGGCATTCTATAAAATCGAGTTGGATTAGGTGCTTTTGTGCAATAGTGTGGTAACGGACTGTCGGGAATTGGTCGTACCAAGCAATGGCGCATCAGGTTGGACAAGTTACCGAGGAAACGTACGTAGTGGGGGCACTCACGTGATCAAGAACCCTTAGTGTGTAGCTTGTGAGGTTTATTCACTCCCAATCACTTCCCAGAACTGGTGACGAGATAACGCTGCCATGACATTATAGAAATGACACATCTAGGTACCTCAACGAAGCATCCCTAGATTCCAACTTTGGAAAGCATAATAAATGGATGCGCATATCCACATGAAAGCAACACATCACATGCGCACGGCTCAGTTTTCAGTACACGATAATGACAAAGGGATCTCACATTTCCGAAATTTGTTGGCGGCCTCAAGAATCACGCTGGACGCATCCTGCACCAATTTGAGGGAGCACAGACGACGGGCGTGGTGGAGGGCGAGCAGAGGGCTTCCCGCGGCGCTGGTGTTATCGACGCCACCCCCATCGCTGTCGTGGGGTGTGAATAGCGCGGCCAAGTCGACCTGTCCACAGCTCAGGCAGTGTTTTGAGGCCAGGAGGGCCTGGTTTGGGAGGATTTCGGGGAGCCGATTCAGCGACGTCATCTGACCGGTGACCACGGGACTCAGGCGCGAGCATAACACCTCCTGAAAAACATGACGACTTCCTGCTTTCCATCACTACCAAAGGCGCATTTAGATTCTTGGAAAAGTTGCCACCCGGATCATGTGCGCATTAATATAAGGCTTCCGAGTTCAAATGTTGGCATTAAGTTGATTAAAGGGCCGCATAAACATCGAACCCAATCTTCTACCAATTTCACGAGATGAAAGAAAGGTGTGAACCGTAAATTATAGGCAGTGTAACACTTGCAGGAACATATTTGATGTCCTGTTATTAAATGGCTTCAATGTGCTGCAAAACGTTTGAGGCAGTCGTTACTGAAATTCAGCACTTTTAATCAAACAGTTGCAGAGAAAGTAGTTGGTTCACGTAAAAATAGCAAAAAGATAGTAATTTGGGACTAGGTTTTGAGGTACTTCAGGCACAATAAAACAGGGCTAAGGATCCGGTCATTGAATGGTTTAATTTACACACAAGATTTGCCGTATAACTTCAACCTGCAAGGTTACTGGATCACGGATAAGGTCGACTTACCGAAAAGCGGAAGCGATCAATGAGCCATAGAGTTTGGATGCTGGAAAGGAGTTTGCCATCTTCTGGGAATAAGCTGAGAATTTGGCTGACGACTTGTTCTTGCTAGAAGAGGCAGGAAAATGGGGGAAATGCTGGAGTTAAAATATTAACACAATTAGCCCACATTTGGAAGGCACATGGGTTACCACTAACAAGCATCTGAAACAGGCTGGTTTTGTGAAATCTCCGGCTACCTTCAGTGAATGCACCGTCGAATTGCACACAAGATGACGTTGCCTGATCGAGGAATCATTAAAGTACAAACATTGACCAATTCTACCAATTTGTCGTCCTCATGCCCCTAAGACTCCGTGGACAGAAGGAGTGGGCAAAAACTCTCCATGCCAATTCCTAACGGTCTAGACACCGTACAAGTAACACACATTACAAGTATGCATGAACTTTGGATGCAAGTGACTCTAACTCTGCCTGCTTCGGAAACTGACCCATTATTTTTACGTGACAAAATTAGAGGGCTTTTGAAAGGCCACCAGATCGCAAGTGGGTGGTTAATAAGGGTCGGCGAGACCGGCTCCAGACTCACCAAATGCGCAGCTCGAGCGAGCGGCCCGAGATCGTCATCCGTCTTCCCATCGCTTAACTGGACTCTTCCGCTTGCCTGTGGTGGCACCGCCTGCACCGCGCTGAGGCGATTGCCAAAGGCGGCGTTCACAGCAATGGCATCGAAGAGAACGAAGACCAGGAGAGCCAGACGCGCCGGTGGCGGCGCATCCACGGACTGCCAGAGGGCGCAGACCGATTGAAGACGACGTGGGGGGTAGAAGGCAGCTACACTGCCGCCGTCTTTCAGAGGCTGTTCCTGGTCTTGCCAAATACCTCGTGTCTCCTCATTCTCGTCAGCAAAAATGTGATTCAGCAGATGCGTAGTAAGGAAAGGGGGCTCGGATTGGCCATTAGAGGATTGAATTTTGGCGAGGAAATCCTTGATTAGGGTAGGATCATAGGGGGCAAGAGGAGATTGTCTGGACCTGGGGAGGGGTAGAGACGACAGACGCGTTAAGAGTTTTATCATAAAAACTAGCCAAACACGATCACACAAACACACAAGGCGATCTCTACAATCGCATGTTCTTTAAGCCCTGACATGCTAATGCATCAATTTTATAATCTCGAACCAGGATGGAGGTGGGAATGGACTATAAATCCTGCTTCGTTTAGAGGGAAGAAGTTTGAGTGTAACGAATACCATTTACGAGTCTGTATGTAGCAGAATAATCAGCCCCGTGGCCATAAAAAAATAAAAGTCAATATTAGTAGCTCGTTTGACTTAATTGTGACCGTGCCAATTAGTGTGATGAACAGAGTCGGTAAGAATAATGGTGGAAACATGGCATTCAAATGAAATAAGTCATTTCTGTGGTGAAACAGATCTAAAGCAGCTCCACTTTGGAGAGCTGGGAAGCCATCCAGATGGAGATGTAACTGCTATGGTCGTGAGACTGCAAATGCAAGTTCGAATAGCAAGTGGACTGTGGGAGAACCAACAGTAGAAGCATTGGCCGAGCCTCTATCTCTATCTTACCACTATAAGTATGCAAAAGTTGCAGAACCTCATTAAGACGGGAGTCGATAATTGGAAAGGGCTATGGGGAAATATCCACGTGAGAACAAGGAAGTAGAAGTACATGCCTCAGGGAGCTGGAGTAGGTGTCCGAGGCTTGCGGTAAAAGGCCAAGACGCAGGAGGAGACAAACGGGGCGAGTGTACTCGGCAAACATACTGATGACTCGGAGCTTGGCTTCCGAAGCCGCCGCAGAAACTGACGGGTTTCGCCGACTAGAGGGTTCGGCCGCGTACACCGAGCCCGCGAGTTCCGCCAGTTGACGTAGCTGAGGGCAAGGTGGGCAGGGAATAAGCTAAGCCCCAGTAGGCACAACAACTTGACGTAGTTCATCCAAAAAAGCTTAGCAGATGTCTCTGCAGACAATTGGCGCTCATATTTATAGAGGCGCGGTACCTACCGAGTTGGTGCACAGGCTTAGGGCACTGAGTTTATCCGATGTGAGCGTAGCAGATGAGGCACAGACAGAGAAGATGGGGCAGCAGAGCTCGTCGAAGGAGGTTTTCCTGCCGAGCCACCGGAGCCACACCCAACGGCGCATAAAAGCCTGCGGGTCCACGGTGTCATCCGTTGCGGAAATCAAACCGCCAAGGTTCTGGAAAGTACAAGTTCGAGTAATGATAAAAGTACACGTTTGAACAACCAACGGACACATTTGCAGGCTCTAGAATATGGTGGTATTACAGAAAGGAGTGGCAGGGAATTATATGCATAACATGAACATGGACCCCAGTAAATTTTTGTACGCGACGTGAACGATCTACATCGGAATCACAAATCAAGTCTTACAACGGAACAATTCTGATGTACTTTTCGTGGATTGCATTTCAATGCGTTAGGCTAAGCGTCTTGAAATAGACAATAATAACGCTAACATGTCAGTTCGTGGATTCGGGATACCAACCCAGAGCAAACGCGTAAAACGCACAGACAGAAAGCGCGCGACGCACCTTCACTTCACGAAGCATCCCGTGGTCAAGGAGACAGTTGGCGATGATAACCCACGTGGGAGAGAGGTGGTCACCAGCCTTCTCAACAACATGTCGCCCTCTCTTTGCAGACCTTCCGCCTACGATGGCGACTGGCCTTTTGTTACCAGCCCGCGGCGACATCACACAATCGTCAGATGAACACTCATCTTCCGCATCCTTTTCAACCAACTCCAGCTGAGTCTGGAGGTCTTGGGGAACGAACTCAAGTCCAAGGGCCTGGCGGAGTAGCCACTCACTGTCCTCAGTTTCCTTCATGATGCGAGGGATGTCGTAGTCGGGATCTTCAAACTCCTGGATTAAGCTACAGGCCACGGCTTCCAGGATCCAATCGTTGGCTTCGAAGGACGAGGAAGATGGAGACTTGATTGCCGCCGAGAGCTCACGGAGAGCAAGCTCTTGACGGGAGACGAACTTTAGCGTCGCGTAGGCCACAACACCAGGATCTGTAAGCAGTGAAGGGATATCGACGTTAAGAAAAAACCCAAAGCAGCTTAGGAAGGGTCAAGAGTATACACCTCGTATGAAGGGAACAAACGCATCAAACGAGTGCGTCGACGGACGCAGCTGCAGTTCAGACAGAGGCTTCCTCAGGTCCCGGTAACTCCACAGGGGTGATTTTTTGCCATCAGGTGAAGAAGTCATGTCGCCGCATAGTTTCGAGGCGCGCAATTCCCGTCGATAGTTGTTGGCCCAAAATGCAAATATGGTCTGGGGCAGAATGTGGGCCGACTGGAACAGAAGGGGAGAAAAAGAAATGTTAGCAACACCGAAAACAAAAAAGGCAAAATTCGGTGCAAGGCTAGCTAGGTCAAGTGAGGCACTTCGCGGACCCACGAGACACACAAAGTCTAGACGACTTAAAAGCATTTGGGCTTGAACATTACGGTGTAGTGAAGCGTGATGGCGCACGTTCAATAACTCTGTCGTCGCAAACCCCCGAAACCACCCATTTCCTTCACGGCGTCCCCGTCAATCATGCGAAACCGCCTGTTCATTCACCACCTGTGTACGCATCACCATCGCTAACCGCTTCACCCATTTAGCCACTCAGTCACTTAAACTTCCACCAGTTCACTCAAGACACATTGCTTAATAACGGCATTAGTAATACAAAACTTCGAAAACACACACACACGCACGACAAAAACAACCTGGTCGAGATACCTTGTAAACGGTCGAGTCACCCCCTCCCCCCTCTCGTCACATTTATGCCTTGACTACTTCGTGCTGTGTCTTGCCCCAACAGTAGGTTCGTTTAAAATAACCACACAAAGAACCGAAATTGTGCAAACGGAACTAAGGGCTAATGTGATTTAAAAAATGACCAACATAAAAACACGGAGACATCGCTAACAGAGTAACTGACAAGGGAGTACGTACCAGAGGATAAGTCCGAGAAGCATTCAGGCTCGCGTCGTACACAGCAAAGAATGGATTTTCAGACCTAGGGGAATATTAGAATTAACTTGAGTGCCAATGGTTATAAGTAGTGTGTGGAGCAGTCCGCTAATCGTAAATCTACTTCTCGATGTTATGGAAAAAAACAGATAAAACGTAACTTGGCATGGTCTACCCATGGTTGTTAATGCGTCGTCCCTTGGTAACTTTGAGTGACTGAATAGAGATTGGCGTAGGTGGACAAGTTAAAAATCCGACACTATGCACTTCCACTTGATTAGATTCAGAAAATGTGCAAATTCAAAGCTCTGCCATGTGGTTAACAATATGAGCCGAAGAGCACTCAAGAACGACCGCGGTTGGTACGTTGCGTAGGAATACATTAAGCCCACCTTATGGTCGAGGGCATTTGGGCGTGGTACCACTGATCCAGGTCAAAGAGCCCAATTCGCACGATGTGAGGCGCAGCACGCCACACCAAGGCCGTGAGTCGGTTCGACCGCAGACCGTGGTTTACGGAGTAGTTTGTGGACAGCGGTTGGATGGCTTGTAGTTGAGCGCCAAAAGGCGACCAGTGCGAGGTGGTGGCGGAAGACGAAAGGGGAGTTAGACAGGCCGAAAGACGCTTGGATGCACCGTACAGTTGCTGCAGCACAAGCAGATTATCCGTTAATTCAGAATTCGAGGAAGAAGGGTTAAATGAACTGCGTTGACCTTAATTTCCCAAAAGCCCACTACAGCTCACCGACCCCAGGTCCCCGAGAAATGTCTTCCATAATCGCGAAAAATACATGAGTTTTGTCTTGTACTCGGACCACAATACCAACGCAACACCACACCTCGGTGAGCGAGCAACATGTCCAACACTTGCTGGCATATGTTGTTTGCCCATATTTGGATTGAGTCGTAAATAAGGGCTGTTTTAACTAGACCCATTTGTCTGGTTGTTTTTGCGTAGGAACTTTACCATCATACCGGTTCATGCTAACAGATTCCTTTCAAATGCCAAGACAACGAGGTCAGAATTAGTCACAGTAAAGTAGGGCGCATGAGAGTTGAGTAGGTTTTGCAGCGTTGATCCACAAGTCGACCAATACTCAGACTTCGATAAAAGGACTCTAAATTGCTCGGTTCAGCACATAACGGGAAAGGCCTTTCGTAAGTGTAAAACGAACAATTGAGGAGTTGAAAGTGAGTTGAAAAACAAACGACTTGCGTTTTAGGTCGCCACTTACGCATACATTTAACGTATATCATTGGAATGAACTATTACTGTCCACTGTCTCCAATGCATTTTCAAACCATAAAATAAAAGTCCGTGATGGGTTAATGTCACTCCGGAACCGTTGTTGTTTGCGCCACAGCCTTCGTGCAACAAATCCAAGTCCTAAAACCCCGTTTCGTAGAGCCTTTAGTTAAACGAGTCGATTTGAATTGTGCTGCAAGAGCAGCAGGTGGGCGCTTCGACTGACTAAAAGCATGCCGGCGTGAATCTGCACCACATTTTTAAAAAAAACCAGAGAAATTTCCACAAGTAGAAGGAAGAGTCTTATGACGACTAGTATTTTCCACCACGTAATGTATAATATGCTTGTACTTGATTAATGTAGTGCTTTTCAAATTCGACAAACTTAATTTAGAGCTTGTTTCAAAGCACTTAAATGATGCCGTGCAAAAAAAAATGCTTACATCGTAATCACAAATTGTGTCTTCAGTGCCAGCTTGGGTGTGCTCCGTGCGCTTTCGGAAACCCAACTGGAAGAGGCTGACTTCCGGACTAGAACAAGGAAAAAGCAGTTGTCGTAGGATGAGGTGACTAGCCTGAAAAACGATTCTTACACTTCAAAGGCAACTAAAGTTGAACGATTCGCAACCCCATGCATAAACATTGCCCTAAATTTACCAGCGAGCTCAAATTTGGACTCAAACAGTCAACACACACACACACACACAGCAATCAAGACTCGTGTTCTACTACACACAACCGCCACTTTTAAGGTGAACTAACTCGATTGCAAAGAAGAACCTGTGAACCAGTTCCGTGATGAGTGATGCCCAAATTGGGTGTTAACATACACACACACACCTCACCACCGTAAGCTAATCCTGCGAACAACTCACGCGGTTCGGCCAAGCGTGGAGGCGTCAAATGTGTGGGTCCTTTTGGGCGCCTGCCAGCCGATCCAAAGGTAACAGCAGTAGCGAGGGTCGTCCGAGGGCTCGGCGAACGCACAACAAACGACAGGAGCCGGCGGAGACGGCAGATCAGGGTAGGTGTAGCTTGAACAAGTAAAAGCACATACACGTGACACAAAGAATGTGGATTTTTAAGTTTTGGTGAGTTTAGCGTCGGCAAGTGGCAGCAAAATAAGTAAATTTCCAGTAAATACCGACTGCTCAGTTTGAGAGCAACTGCTGAGGAAATGCAAAACGGCTGAATTACGAGGTAACACTTGATGCGGTTCGGCGTTGGGTTTCATTTTTCACAGAAGACGACATAGGCGGTGACAACAAATAAATCAATCATGACCCTCTTTTTTGCATTCCCCATGTTAAAACAATGCTTCTGCTAAGAAAAACAACAAACTAAACATGGTAAATGAGCTACATCTTGGAATACTGTGGAAAAGAACACTGCAACAACTGACGTTAACAGCGGAAAAGTGAAACGATATTTATCGCCACGGTGGAAAGTGCCCGAGATGTGGAGACGTGGTAGTCGTCTCCGGAGTAAAACCTTTCATGTGTCTAAGTCATAGACGAGAAAATAGTTTAGCGAATCCGTTTTTGTGAAGCAAATATGAAAGGAACCGATTCGAGGAATTCAAAAATCGGTAGTATTTTCTTACATCAGCTGAAAGTCAGTCAGATGCCATATCTGCCATCCACCGAAGTTGAATCCTACCACCAGGCTTTTGATTGCACACACATTCCGCAGGAGAGTGACTTTCACAGAGGCTGTGAGAGGAGAAACAGACAGTAAAAACTTCCACAGCCAAATAAATTCACAAAAAAGCATGAGGAAAACTCACTGGAGGGAAGTTTCCTAATAGTCTTATCCCCAGGAGTCTGGTAGTAAAAGTTGTTCCATGAGACTCGAGAAGCTGAAATAAATGACTACGTTATTTACGATGACTCCAAGCGGAAAAGAGCAGGTTATTTTAGCCCAAAACGACAGCATTTTGTACATGAGGGATTCCAATGAGAACTGAATAAGGCAAAACTAACTGTCGGACATTGTCACGGTATTAAAATTGTTGCATAATTACTGGTCATAATTACTCAAATCTCCTGCATTTTGCCATAATTTGTGCAGTGTTAACCTTTCGATGATAAAATCCGGCCCTCCTTAAAAAAATTATTAAGCCAACCGACTACTTGATCTGTTTATGGTATAAGTAATACAAAATCACACCATTCAGGTTGATGAGAGAATGCTCAAACGACTCGGAGTAGGGTGAAATGCGTTCATGTTTCACGAAGGCCTCGAGGCACTGGTCTATAGTTACGGAGACGGAGGGTTCCAAAGACGGCTTCCGCGGTTGCCAGTCAAGACAAAGGTCTATAAACATAGTCGTGTGCAGAATTGAGTGGATGTATGTTTATAAGCACGACATCTGTAAAATTAGTTTTGTGGCCAAAAACATAACCTTAGCAATGTAGATGAAAAAGTGTACAGAACCACTTTAGTTTCCTTACAAATTGCAGCAAAACATTAACTTCGACAGGCAACATTTTAGCGCAGATAGCTGGAGTCATTGCATAAATCCAATGTAAGCCGTTCACATGTAAACGTAACGAATAGTAAAATAAACTATTAACAATAGGAGCTGCATAAAAGGAAAATAAAAACGGGTGAATTAGCAAAAATGTTTGATAGACGACCACTATGCGCTTGAATCAAAGCACATTCAATTGACACATGTCGATGCACAAGAATGGAACTGGCTCCTCACCTAGTAACGTCACTACGCCCCGTTCCATGGCGATGGCCACGAGTCCTCCAAAGGTCTGATCTATGCACGGCACACTCAAGCTTGACTCCTGTTCATTGGGAGTTACAACATGAATTGCGTGGGCTTTCCCGCGCAATGAAATGACGCGGGTGACATCGATAAACGCGTCATTCAACTTTAGGAGACACACGAGTGATTGATGGGGCCCACCACCATCAGGGGACGTAAGTAGAACAATGATGGTAGACATTTGAGAATGTAAGAACGCCACTTCAACAATACTCCATGACGTCGCGACATTTAAAGGCCAGTTTTCCATAGAATTGAAGAATTTGTAAGAAGATTCAGGGGTCCAGGAAAACCGTTTCCCACTCGAAAATTGACAATGGAGACGGCTACTCGAGTAGACGCAGGTAATGGACCCAGCTGGCGTGAAAATAAATCGAGGAAGGTGAATCTCCTCATCGACAGACGAAGTCAGTGAAGCAGAGCCCAGTTGACACTCAGAGTGAGGTTGCAAAACTAGGTCTTCACAGTCAAAGGATGCAGCACAAACATTGGTAGCAACCGACTGCATAATGGCTGGTTCCTTGAAAGCGTAGAAGTAAAAAAAGCAATACTAGTCTAATAATAGGTGTGAAAAATTATTATATATTCATTTTCATTGTCTGGCAACACCACGCTTAGGGAATGGTGGAAAGCGGGGAGTTACTGACAAAATGCGAACACCTCGCTTCACATTAAACTCCAAAATATCCCGGATATCTACCTTAAAATGAAATTTTTAAAAACAATACAAAAGTTGGTGATATGCAAGATAGATCACTACCTAAGTATATAGTTTTTTTTACATCCGACACAGCTTGAGCAACAAATCTGTCTCCCGGAACACACAAACATATAGTGGAGATACTAGGAAAACACAAATTCATGAACAAGAAAATAATAACCATAAGAGAGGTTCATATATGTGATCCATTAAAATGTTGGTTCAGAATGAGTTTTGAGGTGGGTGCCTGTTAGAAAAACCCAAAATGAGTAATGCTTGACCTTAGAGGAAAAACAAGAGGGACAAAAAATTAGTGGAAAATAAAAATTTCACGCATATACAACCAAAGCTGATTTACAGACAATGCTTGGAGACTACAAATTTTTGCCAACTCGTGACACCAAGACGCTGATTGGCGAGATCGAAAAAGGACCGCAGGGGAAAATTAGTAAAGGGGTGGTGAAAACAAAATGCGTCGTTGTGTAAAATGCAGGTAATCCTGCTAAATAAATCACCAACTACAAAGTAAACAATTTTTTTTTCGAAAAACTACAACACCTGTCGTCTTAATTGCCTGTATTTTAGAAGGTCGAATGCACTTGCAATCAGCAAATGCATTTGACGTGAATAGCGCCAGCTCACTAAAATGCATATTACATTAAAAACTAAATATTTTAGAAATGAAAGGATTTTAGTGCACACTGAAGCAGTATAGACTTAAATAACACAAAGTTTTGTAAGTTTTTATTAGTGAAATATTTTCAAAATTGAGGTTCTGAATCAGTGGTGGTCAATGGGAAGAAGTTAAAAGGTACAAATTTATTCTAATATTACTAGTATTACAATACCTTCCAAAAAATTTTTAGATATACCGCTGATCTCAAAGTACTAAGGTAAATACTTAATTCACCTTATACAAGCACGCACACAATAAAAAGGAATGAATTAATGATTGTTCTCATCTTAGTACACTGCATTCTGAATGAACGTTTGTCTCTTTTATAGCCTGAAATGTGTCATAATTTGATTTTATGATTGTTTTTTAATGTTAAAATATTTTTTCGGTCAGATTTACTTCATAATTGCAGTTTCATTTCTCAAAAAAATCCACGTTTAAGTAGCGTTTATTTGACAAAACATTTTCTAGACAGATCAAAGGTGAATTGAATATGACAATCTGATTAAGAATTTAATTGTTTGCTTATGTAAGTGTATTTGGCTGCTTCTAGTTTACATATGGAAGCGACGAGTAATATTAGATTGGATATTTATTTCCGGATAATGACAACTGAATTTTAACCGCCGTAGTTTTCTTTATATTTACCTGATGTCTTTTTGATGGTTGACAGGTCTCCTTCTCAACTCCTTTTGCATAAACGTCTCTTTTTGGGCATATCAAGGTTATTGAACTTATTCTACGACAAATGTGGACTAAAACCTTCTTGGCACACATGAACATAATCACCTCGTCCAAAGGCTCTTGCGTACATTCGGATCAGTTAACAGAAAAGGCTGATGAAATCCACGAATGTCTTACCAATCGGGAGGAAAATCTAACCATCTAATCTGGTGTAGCAGCTAACAGGTAAACAACCACCCACTGACATTGGATAAAATATCATGTAGACAGCCTGAACGACAACAGCGCACCTCTTCCCGTTCCCGAGTGGACCAATGGCTCATCCCTTTTGTTATTGGTTTCTGTCAGCATTCGCCTGTGATGCGCGCGTACTCATACGCACACGAAGCCACTTGGCTGTTGTGACAGTAATAAACATTAGCTTTTAGCCAGTCCTAATTTCTCAAAGTTTATTCGACCATGATCATCCAGATGGATATTAGTGGTTTACACCAACGACGAATTTGCAATTGTTCTTTCCTTCATCCGAGGCAGTAGAGCCTGCTTGCACGAATTTCTGATTTAAACCTATGCAATTACTTCGTTGACTTCGTATGTTTTAGCTGCTTATAATCTTAATAACTATAAATCAATTTTTTACGAAGACCTACATAAACTGTTTTCGGACATCGTTTAAAGTTTCAATGTAGAATAGAATTTTTTGTGCAATTTTCTTGAGTAAGCAGACATTCTCATGACAAGCTTCGTGAATATTTAATCTAACTTTTATTATCCTAAAAAAATATAGCATAATGAAAATGGATGAATTTAACTGAATACTCAACAAAGAATTATCAACTATTGGAATTGAAAACTGATCACTAAACACAGAATGATGACAGGTTATTTATTTGAAAATGCCTTTATCCAATTTAGATTCAGCGACATGCAGCGTATTTTGATTGATTCTTAGATTTAGTTTTAACAGGATACTGTAATTTCTTCTAACATTAAGTTTAAAATTTTTTAGCCTAAATTTAATACATTTTGATTCAATGAATGCCATTTGATAGATGACTCTAAAGATATCTAATAACATCCCTTTTGTTAGTTGTTGTTAGTTTATGCCATTCTTTACTTTCGAACGAACTGGGCTTAAATCATTTGTAGGATGTCAGCTGTTTACTAATAGCAAGATCACTAAAGTTTATTGGATAAATTTATTTTATACATTCCGTCTACAATTTTGCACCTTGACTTTAGTCTGCTGGCCGTTAAAAACATGACGGCCAATAAATCCAAAAGCCAAGCATAGAGGGCATTTGTTGCATTTTGATGACTCTTCCCTTCATTGGCACATCGCGCTTAGCCCAAATTAGAGATTTTCTAGTTAAAAACATCATATTTTTTTTAAAAAATGCAATTAATTAATGAGTTTGAAAGTTGTCCAAGTTGTGTGCCAATATTTCAAATCAAGTAATATGAGATAAATAATAAAGATATTACAAGTCATCATGTTGTATGTGAGCAATTCCCATTTATAATTAAAACAAGAGAATTT